TCAGTAGTTAGTACACTGAATGAGCTCTTAGAAGTGTCAGAACATTTCGTACGTCAAAAGTAGTGGCAACATCTGCATGCGTTTCTAGTGATTATCTACCAAGTTAGTGGATTTCAAGAGTATAAATTTTGGCGCCTACGTTTCTGAGACAGTCAAGTACATTAGCAATATTTCACAAAAAACGCTACGTTACTCATAAGTAGTTTGAAACTTTCTTGAAAATAAATTCATCTGTCAATTAATGGTGTCAATAATTCATTATAGGTCATGTGTGAGAAAATGGACATTGACTAAGAATATTCATGACCCCTATAAATCGTTTGACAGACTAGAAAGTATCGATTCCTATCTTGAGTCCTCTTAGATTTTATGGAAAATTGGTGTGATCTGAAGATTTAATAGTGAAAAAAACAAAATTATTCACATAAGTTTACTAGATGATAACCAACAAAATCTCACCAGAAAGTTTAGTCGTAAAAGCAGATACTGTAATCGTGATAAAATATTCAGCACAAATTAAAATTGGGAATTATCACTTATTTTAACATTCATTTCCCAACTAAACTGATGTTCGACGGGACAATTTCATCGAGACGAACAAAACTTTTGAATTCACTATCCGGTCTGTTATTTTGTATGCTTGTAATTATGAAAGTATGAAAAGGTTAGCAGCATCAACTCACATTCAGAACTATAAATGAACCTGCGAACCACAATTGTGTTGTGATGAAATATACTACCTGATTCTCCAACTAGAATTAGCAGCAATAAAAGTTACATACATTACTCAGTAGTTAAGAAAAATATGTCTATAACAAAAGAGTTTCATTTTAATTATCAAACCTGAGTTATTTAGTTGATATCAAAGGCACTACCAGGATACTCTTACCCGATAGGAATATTAGATGACTGAAATAACCTATTCTCCGGACAAGCGATTCAGAATAACTGAGTGAATCGAGTTTAAATACAGACTTTATATTATTCAAACAAGATTGTTAGGGTTGGTTTCTATATTTTATTTTCTCTATGATTTGTGAAGCAAGTATTCTTTGGAGACAGATCTACATACGAAAGAGGACAATGGCCTTCGTTTACTCGTCTACTACAACAGCTTGGATACAATGCACAGATCATTTTTCTGAAGCTAATCTAATTCGATGAGCAAACGTTGAACATAGGAAGGACAGTTTAGTCCAAGACACACAAACATTCGCTGGATCAATTCATGGACGAAACGGTACCTACCAGCTTCATCAGGCTACTAGAAGTCAAGTTGATTTTAAAACATCGTGAAAGAGAAGACAGATTTTGTGTATGTGAATTCACATTACAGTTCAATCTAAGTCCAATCAATGAGTGTATGAGTAGAAACACTATCAAGGTCAAAGAAAGCACGGATAGTTTTTTAATATATTCGGCTTTATCTTACGCAAAACTCCTTCAAGCAAAACTTGGTTTTGAGAAAGGTGCTTATTAAGTGGGATTAAAATAGAACCATGTTTTTTTCTTTGTATTGTAATGGACTCAAAAAAAACGTCTAATTCTATTAAAAATAATTTAGACGCGAATATAAATCTCTGAGAAAGCTTCCATATGGACAGAGTAGTAACATCCTTTATGTCCCACTAACAACCGAAATGGGTGTTCTGTGGAGGCCGTAAAGTTGATCAAACTTACTTTTTCTGATTGTATATATGCTGTATAAAGCAAACCTCCATTTCCTCCACAGAACAGCTTCCCATTTTCATCAGGTGAAGGACATAGGCTCAGCAAACCGCCGGAGACATCTGTGAGCAAAGATCCGAGAACGGAACCATCATATAAATCGTACATCTGTAAATAAGAATATAAATGAATATATGTTTGACTGTAAGATACTATGCCGTCTATACTCTTCAAATAATTTATCAGGATTGTATAAAATAAGTTTGGTAGCTAGTTTTACACATAAGTACTACATAAACGTTTTGCCCTAAACCTGTTTTGTACAGCCCCATCGAGGTCGGAAAACAATTTACAAAAAATTGATTATTCTATACTGTGTTCTACTGAATAATTCTGCATAGAAGTCAGATAAATTTGTAAACATTTACTAGCAAAAACTTATTTTAGATTTGCATGCAAACCCAATAAGATGTTTAGTGATATTCACTATTGGATTAAAAAACAAATGATATATAGACAAGAAATTACAGGTGATGCTGTTATCAGCAGGGTGTACCTCCAATAATTAGTAGGAAAGCTTTTAACGTTTCCCTTGAGTGATGCGGGTTTCAATAGACAAGAGACTATCAGTTTCCTCCTAAATCCAGATACCCTGCATTTGAGTGCTGACAAGCACAAAATATAGGTTAACTAAAAACATTCAACACCAAACCAAAGTGTGCTGCAGCGTTGTATCATTTAGCTTATTGGCCGAATTCAGGACATGATCGACTGGCTTCAGTCGCTGGTAAGAACTCATAACTTAACAGATAAACTGATGACTATTCAGTGACCAATTTATGCAAACAAGACCTTTCATAAAGTTGTTTTTTCCACCCTTGAATAACCAAACTAAAGAACTACTGCACTTATAACGGTTAGGTTATGAGTCAGACTACTGGAACTGAAAACATGTGACAATAAAATGCTTTTTCTAAATTGCAGTCGATATTTCATTCTGAAAAACAATGCGAAGTAATAGCGATGCCGAAACTCGATAAGTTGACGATAAAATTTCACTGTAGAAGACCACTATTAATGAGTCAAATCATATTTTAGTGTTCTAGATAGGCAGCTGTTACCTTGCTGTGGTGGTAGAGTGTGTATATCAAAATAACCTAATTGGTTATATCGGCTGGAATGATTGTGCTTTGAGGTCCTAGTATCTCATAAAAACGTGTTAGGTAGTATTAGGATTAAAAGATGTCTCTGACATAATGCAACTAGCTTAACGTTTAAATAGAAGAGGGTTCGAAGGAGAAGTCGTGGTACAGGCTGGATGAGGTGAAACAGTATTAAGGTGTCTCTTTTGGATGACCAGTAGTTTACGGTGATGCTGCCTTCCAGTAGGGAAGGCACGATTAGAACAGGTTGGCCCAAAAGAACTAGCTACCCAGTGATCTTGTAGTGCCAGTTGTATAGGGTCCCTTGTCCGGCGGTAGCACAATGAAACCTCAATCGCGACTGTAAAAAGAGTCATGTATGATCAGGCTCAAGCATATGCCTCTAGAGCTTTGTAGTCATGCACCACTACTACCATTTTTTTCAGGTACTCTAAGAAGACAAATTTCAACGATATGGGCAGTCAAAAAGTACTGACCACCCATACGCTGCCATCAGTAAACGAAATCTAACTAATCATAGCCTACTTTCGTCTCCTCCCTAACATTTACTTCCTGACACTGACACGAAACTCCTTATAGTCCCTTCAACTTCTCACCCATCCAAACCAGCAATACACTATTCTTATTCTCTTAAACAACACCGCTGACTTTACACTACAGCTTTCAACATCCGAACCCTATGTCACGGACAACAGGTCTTGCATTTCAAAACTATGGGAGCTGAAGTAATGAATGCATGCTGTGTTCATGAAACAAGCATTAAAGGACCCAAGTGTAGTTATTTTCTCGACTCACCTGATCAATATGGTGAATTTGTAAAACTCACGTTGAGTGTTTGAATATTCAATGATTAGCTGTTGTAGATTTTTTGGCATACGTATCGCATCGAACTATAGCGCAGAAACCATAGTTCTCGACTTGATACCAGTAGACATCCGACTCTGAGCTATCGGAATGAATGGATCAGTAAGAACTGGAAAAAGTGACAGTCGTCGATGGCTGTTCGTAATCTTTGCTCACGTGCCCAGTGGCTGTAGTTCGGATGATAAAAGGCTGAGTTCTACCATAAGCTGCGAATTTCATTACACAAAGCGAAACGTTACAATACAGACACACCGGCTGGTCACTTCGACGATATCTCAAGTCAATGAGTCAACAACGGTAATCTTTTCTTACAATTTCGCTCCAGTAATCACTTGTTCTGGTTAGTACTAACTTTAAGCATAAGGAGGGATAGTGTTTTACTCTGCATCCGCCAATATCAAACCAGCGACAACCACAAATAAATCGCATCGCTGTAAGCCATTGCAGGCTGACTTCCGCTCTTTTTGAAGCATACCTGCTTGAACTTTTATCACCTGCTAGTACGGGCACGTGTATGTTTGCGTCTAATTGGTCGCAGGAAACAGACAGCAGTAAACCATCCGTGTACTCAACTGGAAGGTGGAAACGTTAAGTATGAATTTAGGGAGAAGATAAACAAATCATCTAAACTAGGCAGAAATTCTTCTGACAATGAGGACCAGCAAAATATCCAGTCTGTTATAGAAAGTGGTCAGAAGACAGTTGGTAACCTACATCCAAAACCAGCGGGTTCTTGCAACCTCATCCGAACTAACTGATGCAGGAAGACAATTATTAAGGGAAGTAACATATACCAGATGGTATATGCGGAATCAGGGGTAATCTCACCGAAATGAAAGGAGAGAAGTGTTTTTGTGACAACCGAAGGTGTACAACTTTGACTAGAGTCCTGTCTAAGATCCTGGGGTCTATGGTTATCTAAAGCCTAACTGAATTTCGGGTAAAACCAACTTGTAACCTGACTTCTTGTATCAGGTCTTCTATCTTACTATCAAATAATTGTTCCTGTTAACCAGTGTAACGAATTCTGGGAAATCTGAATTATGAGTAAAAAAAAAACATGATTTTAGATAGATATCACCATTTAGATAACCAAGTCAAGTTAAACACGTATTGTATTGAAAGAAGTAGAAACAGTGCAAATTATGACTTTGTTAATCAATGGACTGCATTACCCTATAATCACTTGAGCGTCTTGATGAAAAAAAGGGTGATACTATCCATCAATATGAACAAACCAAATGACTTATCAAAGTATAACATTGGCAAAACATCCAGTTAAGTATTTTAACTTACCTTTAGACCCTGAGATCCTCCTACAACAACCATCTCCTGCATAACGGAACATACAGGATGACTACTGCTTGTTTGAATGATATACCACAGTGGGGCATGTTTGGTATTTAGTATGTTGGTATTAGATGTCGACACGTCATTTGTACTCTGTGAGCTTACCATACCTATCCCACTGACAAGGTTTCCCAAAGACCAACAAGCTAGGAATCCGGCGATATCGGCTGAAACCAAAAATGCCGGTCCATTTGAATTCCAGTTGGCCAGTTTCATCTCGCATATTTTGGTTGAATGGGATCCTTCCAAAACGCCAATCAGACAACCACTAGCAGTCTTCAAAAGTCATAGCTAGCACAATAACTTACTTGATACACATAAATTTCTCTATCAAATGCAATGATGATATAATTTCCATCTGGGGTAAAAAGAAAGGCATTAACCAGCCCCTTTGTTAAAATGTTTTTGTGCGTTGAAGTCTAATTAACATTTCAGCAGAAAAAAAATGAGTTACGGCGCTGTGGAAATTCCAAGTTTGTATGATAGGCTTTCTGGCAGCGGAGCAAGCTACACCCCCAAAGTATCCGGTAATAGATGCTCTCGAAGCCAAGTCGCCAGACAGGCTAGCGACAGGATTCCCTCCAAGAGGATCCCAAACTATAGCGGCATCCACCTGTTTTTCACTGGTTGTAGTAACCAAAAGTGAAGTCATGGTCAGACTCCAACGAATTTGTACAGAAACAGGAGAAATGAAGTTATCTACAAAATAGGAAAACAATGCCAACGGGATAAAGTTTATCAAACGAACTAGTAAATATAGACCAAAATGTTTTAAAGTGCAACGACCACCTCATAAAAAAGTAACTAGAACGTGGTGGTAACTGAGTTTGTTAACGCAGTCTATTTTCAGTGATTTCATTTTTAGTCGCAAGCCCATTTCCCCTGCCGAAACTTTTGCATCGTCAGATTTACCAACTAACACTCAAAAGGTGTGGCTTACAGTTCACTACGGTAACTTACGTGCAGATAATGGGCCGCATAAACTGTTCAAATAATAGAATGTATTATTAGGACATTATTACTTCAATAACTTTGACGGAAAGTGACAAGTTAATACCATATTAAATGAACCTCTACATCATCTGGCATCGAAAGCTACATGACAGAATATTTTGTCCAGCGAAATCGACAAAGATACGAACAAGAACAAAGAAAACTGTATTTCTTGCAGTTACAGATATAAAATAACGTAGCTGAAGCAAGCATGTTTTTGTAGTAGGCCATGAGTCACATTTAGGTGAAATCATGATACTAGCTGAACACGCATGTTGGGATAGGTGTGACGGGGTTCCAACTTCCTGGAAGTCAAGTTCCTCGGTCAATGAGCCGCTAGCATAGATTTAATTATAGCGAGAACACAGAAATGTCATGTACTATTTTGATTGACAATAAGACACCGGTCAGCTGTCAACGTGAAAGTGAACATTCAATCATAACTTATTAATGAAACTTCATGTGAAACATACTGTAAAGGGTCAGAGAAGAATTCTAAGCATTCTATTATTATAATGCTTAGTGAATGATAATATTGATAGGGAATGTGAGAATAAAACTTAGTTTTAGTTGGACGTTTTAGGCTATCAACCAACTTAGAAAGTAGCCTAAACGATCGTCTAAATTACAGCGAGATTTTACAATGTATGGTAACAAGTCATGCTGGATAAGAGAAAACTCGTGGAGCAAAACAGTTAGTCTGTTACTGTCAACATGAGACCTGTTATTACTGTGTACTGGTCTAAGTTGACACTTACTGTCAGAACATGGAACGAAAAGGCAACAATATGGAAGATAGGTAACAGTAGCAAAGTGTCCCGAAGAGAAAAAGAAATCATGAAATTCGGTGTTAAGGTTGATGTAAAGATAATACGTGAATACACTTGTGTCAATGTGATCATTTCTGAGACATATCACTTCGACACCCTAGACACCGGTCTCGGTTGTCATGTGGATCCTGACAAGTCTAGGTTTCTCTAAATGGCTCACATCAACAGTCAGACTTCATGGACTCATGCCATGTTTCAGTTTAACTACCTCTAACCTTTTTCCAGTATGAACCTACTTCAGATTAACACTGTGTATTCGTGCAGAGATTTCATCGGTCATTGACCCAGCAGGGTTTATCCTACTTCTCAAGTAAGTAAATGGTCAACGTGCTCAGTAACTTTACTCCCTATTTACAAACAAGGTACTTAGGAAGGTCAGATCAGGAGCAACGACTTGGTGAGAAACGCACCCCAAACACTCCCACGCAGGCAGACAAAATGCCCAAAAGACTGTATCATGTAAGAGTTTTTTATCTAACATGAGCATGTCATCTGAATACTCTAGAGCAAAACAAGCTCATTTTTATTGGGATACTTGACTTTCATAGGACAAATGACAGGGTTAACCATGCCTTATTGTGCAAAACACTTCAGCTAACGGGCATAAAAAGAAAGTCACTCGTTGGGTCTAAGGGTTATCTTCGTGATTAGTTGCAGGTAGCCATATTTGTCTTCCCGGTCCAACTGGTCCTCAACGCTTGAGGTGCCTAACCTTTGTATTCTCAACTCATTACTGTTTCTATGTTTAGTAACAATTTACCTTTCTTGCTTTCAGGTACTGTCATAAGATTTTGAGGAGAATGCACAAACCAATTTGTCTGCCTTTCAGGACCTAACCAGAATCTGCAACTAGACAACTGATAACCTGCTTAACGCCAAATATTGTAAGATGTAGTAGATATGATTGATCTAATTGTTTCTTACTACGTTGGTAGAATAAATACTCTGAACTTTAGAATATCTCTCAGACTGCTGCAGTAATGGCTTCTCCTCATGAAGCTTCCAAAGGCAAATAGGAAATTCAATTGGAGTCACGGTGTAAAAATAGTCTGTACTGTGATGAATAGCATCAGTATCCTAAAATAACTGATTGAACATATAATTTTGAAGGGTTTTAGAACAGGGCTAAAGACAATTAACATTCCGCAGAAATTCTTTTTAACAATACAGGTGTAAAACCCAGAAGATACCTAGACAGCATGAAGACTGAAGTCTCCATACACACAAGAGGTTGCAACACCAACTCAGCTGACTTGAGTCAGCTGATACCAAAGTTTTTTAGAAGTAGGGAGGAAGTAATCTTATAGCCGCTTAAAAAAAAGAAAAAATGCAATCCAGGGATGAAGTTTGCTATTCGTGACAGATCTTGTCCATCTTCCGTGAGAGAGACTAGCTTAGCTAAAGCTTTTTCTTATTGCAGAGAGAAAAGTGGTCTGATCTTGATCTCACATAGTTTTCAAAAGTGACTTAGACTTTAAGTTATCTAATTCCCATAGCTTTCTCTAGAACTAATCACCTTAGAGGCTACCAGAAAGAGATTCAAAGGCTGGGGTCGAACCATCTCAGAACAAAGTAATGGGCCTCTCATGAAGATGTCACCAATCGAAACTCGTTACCGGAAAACGCAAAAGTGGCTTCTTCGGTGAACATCCTCAAGAAAAAAACCAAATCTTTACAGGAATTACTGAAACTACAGTCATGAAGGGATAGGACAGGTAATGGCCAACTATCCTCTTAACTAAACAAAAGCACTTAAGAGCTGAGTAGCCTAGTTACATTCGACTACCTATAAGTTATATAGAACTGGTAAAAATCTTAAGTGACACTTTGCTTCTGCATAAAGGTCATCTGCTTTTGTGAAACGTTCTAAATATTTCAGTCTCTGCACAAACAAACACCTTTTGGTAACAGATTGACCTACTATGACGATAAAACTATTCACATACATGACGTCAGACACAATAATACGTAACAGAGTAGTCTAACCTCGCTTTGTTAAATACACCGATGAGGCACTGATGTAACGCAACGTTTGCAGAAAGCGGCTAACTTGTATCTTGTTAAGTCTGATTTATTTTGCAGTCACTACCACAATGAAATCACAGTACATCGTTGAGTAAGGCTGTCAGAGTACCAAATACTATGGTTTTCGGGAATGATTGCAGTCCTTTGTCATTTTGTGAGGAAACAGAAACTCCACTCTTAAATTATCTACAATTGCTCCTATCACTTCAATTACTTTTAACAGATAAGAGATAACCCATACCTTACCCAAGTATCAGGTTAAAGTATCCTGAGGACTGGAAGGGTCTGCTTAAACTCCGAAGAACACAGTTCTACACCAAGCTCGAAAAAATAACAGTTACAGAGAAAAGACATCCTCCTTAATTTTGCAGTGATTTTTGTGATTGTTCATTTTGAACTGCGACAGCTTACTCTGTCAAGTTGCGTCGTGATATCTGTCTGAGAACTGTGCACACTGACAGTTATCACAGACAAAGACTTAATTATATGCTTCAATGAACAAAGTCCTTTTGTCGCAACGTCGCCCAACTACCTATCAGTCGTCTGATAACGTGGAAACAGTGATACCGTGGTATCTTGAATAAAGTTTTCTGAGGGCTTACAATGAATTTCATCCCAGAGCGTTTTAGAAAATTCAGTGAGTCGTTTTACATAGCACAACTTGTCTTAGCTGTTAAAGTAAGCAGTAGATGCTTTCTTTTCTCATGGCTCCATAAGGCCTCTTGATTCAGTCTCAAATTTTTCAGAATTAATCCGTTCAGAAGTCTTCGTCCCATGCTTTCAGCAAGTCAAGTAAGTTTTTAAGCTGATCGCATCTGTAACCCTATAAGACCTGAAATTTAGCTGAATACAAAACATACTTACTGTGGCGATTAACTGTTTCCATACTGATCCATTTTGGAATACCTTTTGTGCTCCAGTTCCGCAAAAAAAGCATCAGCAACAAAATTTCAGTCCATAAAAGCTGCTTAACAAGCTGGAAAAGAATCTATCAAAGTGCAGTTTATGTATACTAAGTTAAATAAAAACCATCCCAATAACTCAACATGGAAATACAGATAACTACCATAGAATTATCCTAAAATTTGCTCATGATTTTAATCATTGTGCATTACAGGCATCTACGATTAGTGAGTGCCTTATGCGTCTGCCATGTTCACGCGAGAACACTTCCTAAGCTTGAGAACCCGTTCATTTTTCAACTGGTGCATCTCAGTTTTCAAGTTGATCGTTTACTGGGATGTCTAACCCCGAGATACGTAATTTTAATGCGCCGTTCAAAGTCGCACTTCCGAAGAAATGTGATCTCACAGACTGTAAGCTCCTTGACGAACTGCCACATAACGTTAAGCCAAGGAACGACCTGGCTGTCCAGGTGCTCTCACGCGTGCCAGAAATTGCTGGTCAACAGATCTTCGCTGAAAGCCTTCTCCGTGAACTCACTCACAGGTCAGTACAAACCATGCTGGTGACACTTCCGTCGGCTGCTATCGATGACCTGGCGGCCGATAAAATACAGATCTCCAGTGGGCTGGCCTCTACGAAAAGGCTTGGGGTTAGGATTCGGAAGTGGCAGGGTTATGCGACTGTGTTAAGTCCTAGATCACGATATTCAGTACAGCAACCTGTTTCATCTCATGGAAGCAATTCATGTGGCCAGCCGGCGGCTAAGTCCGGCGTGGTCGTAAGACCAAAACCACACTGGTCCCATAATACTTACGGCACAGAGGCCAGAAGTTCTTGAAACCTGTGTTCTTGCGGCAGAGAAAGCAGTGAACCAGAAAACCGCCCCGCTGGCGCGCGTTAACGGCACCCGTGGGTGGTGAGAGAAGCTGTTCGTCGTACGTTCCCGACGTGAAACGGAAGTTTGCCACCTCGCCGGCGATGGCGCGGAGCCAGGGTTTTTTCCCGTAATCGTAAACGGATGTGATCACCAAATGTCATTCGATCTACAAGCAGCCAACAACAAAGAGATCAGGAAGTTTAGAAAAAGGGGTATCTACCTCGACCAAAGTTTTCGTAAATCTGTTCAATGCATTTTTCTTCTAATTGATGTGTCCACTCCTATCGTTATTATAGGTTTGCACAGCCGTTGCAACCTACTCATGGATCACTGTCGACGATAACTGATGGGTGACAACGCGAACTAATCCGCTGATCGAACCACATGTGCAGGTCCGAGTTTCAGCCCTAGTTGGAACTGAACACTCAGCTGACACGTCCTATCAAACAGTACCAGACAAATATCTGTAGTTGCAGCAACCGATGCATAATCTACCACGAATAACCACCAGTATTCTTCATCACATTACAACCAAAACTACACCTGTGGCATTCAGAGCACGCAGTCTAGCCCTAGATAAACTCGGATTCCTGATAAATTGATTTGGTCAGAAGCTGAAACTGCTCGTTATTAAACTATCGGACAGTTCATAAGCTTTGCCACTGCGGATGGTTTGAAGAGGATACCAACAACTGACGTCCAAAATGTGATTACGGACCACCCAAAACCGAGACAAAGTCAGATTGCAACCCGACACTTCACATATAAGACTTCATTGTGGGTTCATGCAGAAAAAATGTTTCCACTATCGAACTGGTGAAAGCGTACAACCAAACACACTTGACAGCAGAAAGTATTTCGAAATCAGCCATTATATCACCTTGTGGTCTGTCCGAATTCCCCGCATTCCATTTGGTCTTCCAAGTGTGGCACGAAATTCCAACGTCCCATGGGTGATATCCTCCGTGGTTTGGATTAAGCCCACGTATGCACTGACGTCTGTCTCATTGTGGGTCCAGAAAAGGAAGTTTCTCCTAAACATTTGGATCGCACACTCAGCAGATTGCAGAAGCGTACTATCGCAGCCAGCATTCAGAGATATTTAGTAGGCGTTGAATAGCTCGATTACATTGGGCATACTACCGGCAAAGAGGGTATATATCCACAGACGGATAAAGTGGTGGCAATTCTTGATTATCCTGAGCTAATCATTGAGCAGAAGCTCCACACTTTCACAGGCCTGGAAAGCTACTACCAAAGGTTCACTTTCAACTATGCATCTCTCATGAGATAGACCGATGGGCCTACTCCGCGAGAATACAAGATGTGTGACTCTGGACAACGAGTCTAGACTCCCAACTATTCACTGTTCTATGCGCCATTTTCAACACGTGGTCGAAGGTCATTATTTCACAACTTTCACGGACCGCGAATGGCTAACCTCCTCTCTAGGCTTGGCGTCCTATAGATACTCCCGTCAGTCACGGCAAATGGACTACGTATGGTAGTTCGATTCACATCTCAATTACATGTTTGGAGCAACTAATTCCGTAGGCTACTCACTGCCTCGAATTCCCACTGTTCGCCATATTGGAGGTGTTTACTTACTGAATTGGTTTAGCTTCTAAAAGCAGCCACTCAATTACAAGTTTGACTTTTGTTTCCATTGGTCGAATGCATCACAGAATTATTCGATAAATTCTCTGTGATCATTTTAAACAAGGTTGCAGTCCAAAGCTTCCACCTTGATGGCTTATGACCCTGAACAGGCTGCTGCCTGTCAATACCGTTTAAATTTTGCTACCAGTAGAGCGTTGATGATTTGAGACAGCTAACACGCCGCGGGCGGAAAACCATGTACATATAGGCAAAAGTATTGAGTTACGGTGCCCAAATGATTTGGCATGACACAGAGTTGATCACAGAAATATTTCATTCGAATTCGGGAAGTTCAGAGGTCACAAGCCAAGAATGTGATGTACACTGCAATAGCCAAACTGAATTCGAATATAAAGGCGACCTGCAGATCGGAAAACGTGATCAGGACAACCCATTAGAAGACTTGCTCAACTGAGCAGTGCAGGCATATATATGTCAGTTTCTTATCCTTCAAATGGCTTTCTCTCATGGCGCCATCTTTTGCTTGGCTGCGAAACGTTTCTTTCGTGTTATTTTTACGGTATCACTGTTTGGCCAGTGAATGGCCATATCGTTTAAAAAAACAGAAAGAAACTCAAACTATTTTCATCCATATATTTGCTTCTTCCATGTAGCATGTAAACATTCCCCATTTCTGTAAGATGCTCCTATGGTATTAAGGGCTTTTACTTCTCTTCCAGATGTGATGAGCAATGAACTGAACATCGAAGCAACACGATCAACCTAAAATTCGATCCATGGTTTCCTCTTTGTCGACGGTAATCCTACTGTCAACCAAGGGCTTCTCTTCTCGGTGAGCCCATTGGAAGAAGGTACATAAGAAAATTTACGTAGGATCCTCGACGGAGCTGGAACTGGGACGGCACTTAAGCCCACAAACAAGCTTTGTTGGTCTAAGGATCCGATAAAACCAATTAGGCAAGATAACCTTATCCATCAAATTCAATTTGTTGACTGCGAGGTCAAGCACATGTGCCAGTTAAAACGGCAGAACATGGGAATTTAGCTAAGTATAGAATGACAGACCTTAATAAGACCAATAACCCAGAAGCTTAACTATTGCAATGCATGCACTAACATTAGACCACAAAATAGGGCGGGATAAAACCAAACTTACTAAGTCCAGTATAATTGGGTGGAGAAAGAGATTGATTACTGAATCTTTGTTCATCGAATCAATACTCAACACATGTCACAGAAATAACACAACATCGTGGTTATGAGAGATCTTACTGCCAATAAAAACAAGGAATATCGTGCGGTAGGACCATAAAAATTAGATGCCGATAGTAATGTGATAATACTGATGTGATTATGAGGAGTGATTTATGCTCGAAACACCATTAAGTAAATAATACTGCATCACTGTGTGTTGTAAATCAATAAAGAAATTTTATATGGAGCCAGTTAGAACAAATCCTATGATCTCATATACAGGTGGTTTTGTAACCTTTCTCAATATGCGGAGTACATTTTCTCCCTGTATTATTATACTACTTTCGGCCCGGAATATTTGTCTCATTCTTTCCCATATTGATAAAATCACTACTAGTCTTTTCCTTTTTATTCACTAAGTTCAGATGTCCTCACTTAAGTTGCATCAGTGTTACCTTTATTTCAAGCCGATAGTAGCGTCACACACTTCTCCAGAATCAATAGCCTAGGGCTCGACGAGGTTCAACACTGATGCTGACCTTGATAGTTTACCGGAATCGTTAAGCTGAAGGCACCCGGCCAGGCATCCTTGCCATTCGGCCCGCTGTCGCGTTACGTTGCACTACTCATAATCGACCCTCTAGCCAGCTGGCTGGAACCCATCAGTATCTTGACACGACGTCGCAAACATACTATTTCATCCGGTTAAGCCACTGTGTTCTTCCTTGGCCTCATATTCGTAGGTATATCACAAGTTCGAATAATTAGTGATTGGCCTCTGCGTCCGTCAAGTCCGCACCAGGACAATTCCTAAACGATAATTTTGTTAAATTCATACAAGTATACAAACATTTGCATAAACTGATGCTTAATTTATGTTGGGTAACAAACAGTTCATGAGGAATCCCAAAATAAAGTGGATCCATGCCATTGTGCTACATCTCGTTCTCGCTTTATTTCAACAGAACATTAGTATTCATAGTATAGGCCAGCCGTTCAGCTTCCCTCCGAGTTAGCCGGTGTGTCGTGATTGCTAGTACGACCAACCGGCAAATACCAGTGAAATGGCCAAGGTCACTACACAGCAAATAGGTACAGCAGTTGCTGCAGTGAAGTCACCAGAGGCAAATAACTGGAAAAAACAAATCGACAACCCTCAGGAAGAGGAGGTCGAACTTCAAATGATTTCTGCCTTCCTCTTAACATATACTACTGATGTCCATTCTTCTCAGCAATACCCACTATAATACTAGTATTTGCAACCTACATATCGTTTCCTGGCTGTCAAT